CCCCCGCCACCGCCACCGTGCTAGACCCTGCTGGCACCGCCCCACCCCGCTCTGGGCAAGCAGAAGTACCTTCTGAGCGGTGAATGCACGTGTGCTGATTATCGCTCAGGAAAAACCCTTCCTTGCAGCGGCACTCATAGCTCCCCATAACGTTGACACAGGTGTGCTGGCAGCCACCATTGTTCTCCAGGCATTCGTCCACATCTGGAGAGAGAGGATTAACCTTTGCTCCTGTGACTGTCAAACATGTACCGGGCCAGGCAGCTCAGCAACTCCTGCTAAGCAGAAATGAGGTTCCCCTCTGGTCGCTACATCAGAAACAATCAGAAGGGATGCTGCTGGGCCCCAGATGTTGAGCCTAGCCTCCTGGGTCAGGGGCTCACTGGACCAGCTCTCCACATTCGTTAATCAATTCAATAAATATTAAGAACCTCTTTCCAAAGCATGGCTTTATAGATAATCAAACACTGATGAGCAGGATGGAATCCCTTCTCTCTCGGAGCATGTTCTTCAGCAGAAGGAGACAGATGAAGAAGTCAAGAGATAAGACAGAAGGTGGGACAAAGGAAAGAGAGGTCATTTCTGGTTGTGGGGTATCAGCATAGGTTTAAGGAAAAACTGACGATAGATGAGTCCTGAAGGATTTCTTCCAACTTAAATCAGAAGAAGGAATTCTAGGTGGAAGAGAGTTAGCACTAGCAGGAAGACTGGGAACATGGAATGTGTTCAGATACAGTCATTCAATTTACCTGGAGCACAGGAACAGACAGGGAAGTGACAGGAGATAAAACTGGGAAGAAAAATTGGGGTCACAATAAGGAGGCCATCTTGAATTTCAGACAAAGTAGCTTCTACTTCCTTTGGGAGACAGTGGGAACCAGTGGATTAGGGGTTCCTGGTCAAACCGTCAAGCTGGAAAAAATAAGATGGCAGCTGAGGGTAGGACAAAGGGAAGGCGAACCGAAAGCTCAGGAGTCCAGCTTCACAGGAGCACCTGAAACAGCCTTGCAGCACAGTGGGGGACTGGACCTGGGGCCGGGCCAGAGGGCTGTCTAGAAAGGAGAAATAGAAGAGCATTGCCTGCAACGTGGAAAGTAATGTGGGGATGTGGGGGTGGGGGGGTGAGGGGGCGGTGGCTGAGAAATGGGGAAGACCAGCTCTAGGTGTAGAAATAGGGGTGGGGATGAGGTGGCCCCACATGGCAGGTGGGGTCTCCACAAAGAAGCTTTCCTTCAGATCCCCAGGGCAGGGCATCTCCTCTGCTCACAGACCACCCTGTGCTCTCCTCAGTACACTCATTGCATTGCATTCTCAACATCTTTTTCTTAACCATCTCCACCAGACTGCAAACTCCTTGCGGACAGAGATTTTTGTTTTAGCTAGTGCAGCCCTGGAACTGCAGGAGCACATTATTGTTGAGTGCATGAACAAACAAGGAGAGCACAGCATCATCAGAGCCAATGAAGAGGAAACAGCCAGAAAAATCTCACACACGACAGAGGATCAAGGAGAAGGCTGATATCAAAGCAATTTATTTTCTCCAACCTGACTTCTCACGTGCCTATCACTAGCTCCTAGGCACATCCATAACAAGAAAATTCACATTTAAATATCTGTTATCTGGTTTCAAGCTTCAGATCTTACAGTTATCCATCCTCCCACACTACCAAGCAGATGCCTTTCTAAACTGATGGGACTCAAGCCATCCCCTACAGCCTAACAAACTTGCCCTTCTCTACACCAAAGGGTGAAGGGAGCACATTCCAGAGGAGGGGCTGCTCTGGAACACACCTGGCCCAGGTGAGGGCTCACAGTGAGCAAAGCTGTTTCCCTGAACACTAAATCCTGGGCTCCCCTCTGCACTACCCCACAACCACCCCACCACTAACCCACTGTTTCTTCTCCATTCAATTAGAAAAGGGTCATTAAGTTGCATGGTATGGTGAAATAATACAAAAGTATGCACAACTATCTCACAAGGCTAGTGCGTTTCTCCAGACTGTAAAGCAGCAGTTCTCCAGCCTTGACTACAGGGTTCAACCCTGACACCTGGTGTTAGAGCCCCACCCCCCATGACACTGAGTTAACTAGTGCTGGGTGATACCTCAGCAGTGAGCTGTGAGGAAGAGCTGCATGTCAGTTATCAGGCTCACAGATATTCATGGTCTTGAAGCACACTGGATTCAGTGCTGAGCTAGTGGTATTTGTCCTCCATATGTTCCAGCTAATATATTTGAGGCGTCATATGTAGTTGGGGGTCAATGACTCCTGGAAGGAATCATCCAGGAGAACACAGGGAACTACTGCTTCTGAAGTGTTTGGTTCTCAGCTATTTGTATGTCATGAAGTGCTTCAGCCTTTTCAAGTCTAAGTGGCATGTGAGCCTCATGTGTTCTGGTCTTCTCTTCACATACCCCATTATTTCCTCCTGCCTGCCTTTTAGAGAATCCTTGGCCCCTTCAGATATATAGGTGGATGTACAAGATAATTTCTGAAAAGCATATACTTGCTACCAAGACTAAAAATGAGGCCCTCTGGAGACACACCCTCAGGATTTCTGAGCAGATCTTCACTCAGAACCTCCCATCCAAGCCTGGCCCAGGTCCTTAACCCGTGGTTGGCTCAGCTTGTTGCTCTGAGGAAGCTTACACCTCCCCCAGGCTGTGGGTCTGAGGATGTCATGACCAGGTCTGCCATCAGAGATAAAGCCTTGAAATGCCACTGTAGGCAAATCAAAAGGAAATATGAGATTTCCCTGAACATGGCAAAAAAGCAAAAACAAAACAAAACAAAAAACCATTTGAATGCTTCCTAACCAATTCCACACAGAAAGTGATTTCATTATTTAATTTTAATTAATTTTGATTACTGCTCTCAGGATTATCTTTCTAACATGTCTTCTTGGATACTAACTACTTAGACAGTCTGCAAAGGGGTGAGCCAGCCTCTGACAGCTGTAGGCTCAGAAGGCCAAGTAGTCTGATAACCAACAGCTGGACCTGTCACAGGACAGAGACTGGAAGGGATAGAGTCTATCTCAGCAGGGCTCCAGGTGACAGCAAAGTAGGATTAAGGTCTTACTGGGGTTGAATCCTAAATGGAAATACTCTCCTTTCCAATACTCAAAGAACAAGTTCTACCTGTACTTATCTAGTGGCTTTTATACTGATCTCAAAGCATTTGATCAGCTGGCCACTCCCACTGCACCATCAGGGATCATCTAAGACCTAGCCCCACAGAATAGGGCCTGGCTCAAGTTGCTTTCGTCAGTCAGGTAGACATCTGCAGGTCAACCACATGAAGAGTCATCAGTGTCTGAGGGAGCTGATGCCATCTGTCTCCCAGGACATTCTGGACAACTGAAACACCAGCCTTGAAAGGCAAACAGGCCACAAACACCTGCCTGACAGGTGTTCTGTATCACCTACCCAACACTCAATGCCATCCAATTGCTTGCTAGTTCTAAGTTCTGTTTTATTCCTGGTATAAGGAGATAATAGGAACAACACTTCTTCCAGCCCCACGCAAGTTCTGTTTTGTGGAATACTAGGAGGATGTTAATGGGAGGATTCTGTATAAAGTTCTCTCTTTTAAGGAAAAAGACAGGGATCTGCCTGGCTGAGATTAAGCACACACTGGGCATTTGCAGGGCAGGGGGTGTATTCTAATTATAGAATAGAGACACTGTAGAGCATTAAAGATTGGTTTTAAATCAAAACCCATTCAACACAAGACCAAAGACTTTAAAGGTGACACGTCAATGTCAGAAAGTCAATAAATAATAATGAAGATAATTATTCATCATCCATCACCTTACACAAAGGAAAGACATACTCTGAGTGATCATACAAAAAAAAAAATGTTTTACCCAGTTTTCTATCAGGGAGCCAGAAAACACACTTGTCTGATTCCTTTTTGTTTTAATAACTATGTTTTCATCAAAAGGAGGAAAGGGGTGGGGATGCCGGAGGGTAGGTAAAGGAGAATTGCCATTTCCAACCGTTTTCCTTACCAAGACAATTATGACCATCATGAGCCAACATGAAGCCATCAAAACAAGTGCAGCGATAATTGCCTGGAATATTCAAACAGTCATGGACACAGCCTCCGTTGAGTTCATTTTCACATTCATCAATGTCTGAGGGATAAAACATAAGTAAACCAGGTGGGTATATTTCTTTAGTATGGAGATCTTTGCATTTACCTTTGAACCTGCCATCCTACTTCTAGGAATCTATCCTATGATATAACTCCAACAGCAGGAAAATATAAGCACAAGGATATTCACTGCAGCATTTGAAATTACAAACAAACAAACAAAAAACCAAAACAGCATGCATAGTTGAAGAATGATGGTACATGTATTGTAGAGAGCCTTATGTAGCTTCCCACGACCCCCTCCTCCCCAAAAGAATGAGAATGACCTTTATGAATGGTTTGGATATATTATTAAATAAGAAAAAAACGAAGTGAAAGAGTATATTATCTTCATGTTAAAAACAAGGGGATATAGTACACATACACACACAAGAAGTACTGGCAAGTGTTTTTGCAAAACCTGACAAGTTTGTCTTAAAATTTATACAGAAATAAAAAAGACTTAGAAAACAAACAATTTTAAAAAGAGAGAACACATTTGGAGGATTTTACCTACTAAACAGCTACAATTACCAAAACCATGTGATATGAGTATAAAGGCAGACATAGGTTAATGGAAGAATATTGAGAATCTGGAAATAAATCCATGTGGCTATGGTCATTTGATTTTAGACAAAAGTGGTAAGGCAGTTTATCAGTAGTCTTGTCAACAATGATGCTAAGACAACTGGATAGCAAATATTCTGAAGTCTAAAATTATTTCAACAAGGTTGTTTTTTTTAATTATACCTTCTTATACAAACACCAAGTATAGATTTATACTTGTTTAACATGACTCACTTCCCTGAACAGTGCACACTGGAAAGAAAAATACTAACTCTTGTAACTTTGAAAAAACAACCTCTTAACTGAGTGTTGTGAGACTAAAAACAAAAATTGTTGTGTACAAATGCTGTATCCTGATTAGTAAATCTGTTTTACACCCAGGATTCTGGATTAGTAACTGTGTAAATAACTAGTGTGTACTAGAATTAAACACACAGGTAGATATATTACAAATAAGAGCCATGTTTTTCACTGTTGGAGAAAGAAGTCATAAATAAGCAAAGAGGTTACAGAGAATCTTGCAATATTGTTTTGAAGCCCAAAGAATCAGTGTAGCTCAATGTTTTTAATATATTTATAAACAGAGAGATGTAAGGTGTAAATATAGACATGTGAGTAGGCAGGGCTGTGTATACACACATATATTTCCTAACTACCCACTCAGAAGAACTACAAGTAATGACACCCTAGTAATGATGAGAATACCAAGCATCCAAGTGTTGGCTTTCCAAAAATGAAGGAACCAAAGCTCTTTAAGTGGTTGATTGCAGGATTTGGGGAGGAAATAAGTCTGAGACATATTAGGAACAAGAATATTAGGAACTTCTCTTAAAAGGATGGAGGGAGGTCAAAAGGACTCAGGAGATAGTGTGGAAAGCTCCTAATGACTAAGCTGGAAGAATTTAAGTCAAAAAAACTAACTATCGGCCCTCCCTGGTGGCGCAGCAGGTTAAAGCACAGCACTGAGAATCTGAAGCCACTTCCGCATGAGTTCGATTCCTGTCTGCCGCCTGCCCTGGAGGAGACCACATGGCGAGCCAGACCTCTCCTGACCCGCCCGCTGCTTCCCTCAGCAGTGTACTTCGTCGATCTGCCTGTTCTGCTCCCCACTCTGTCTCTGGTGAAGCCTCTCACCGCCCCTGAGCCTCTGGCCTGTACCCCAGTTCTGTATGCACAAATAAATAAATAAATAAATCTTTAAAAAAAAAAAAACTAACTATCCATATTATTAAACCCCTATGAGCCCATACTGGCATAGTATGAACTAATGCATAAGTAAATGGGGATAGGTCATTCCTTTTTTTTTTTTTTAAATTTATTGATTTATGCATACAAGAACTGGGGTACAGGCCAGAGGCGTAGGGGTTGGGAGAGTGTGAGGGGATTCACCAGAGAAAGAGTGGGGAGCAGAACAGGCAGATCTACTGAAATACACTGCTGAATGGATCAGGGACCAGACAAGAGAGGTCTGCTGCATATGTGGGTCATCTCCCTGGCTGCGGATTGTGCTGCAGTGGCTATGGAGAGCTTCATAATGCTGGGCTTTAACCCCTTATGCTACCAGGGAGGCCCAAATAGATCTTTCTTAGAGAAGAACCCCAGTTATAAAAGTGTAAGGGGATGAGGGAAATACAAAATTACCAGGAAGTACACATCACAGTAATAATTGTTGCAGGCAGGAACCCACAGTTGGATGCTAAAATCAATAAGGAAAGATTTGGAATGAAATAGGGTCTCAGATAAATTCAAAGTATCTAGCCCAAGATATGTTTCTAGTGCAAAAGGACAAAACAGTAACTTTGTGGTAGAGAAATTCAGAATACACCATCGTAACCAGGTAATCAAAATGAACATTCCCTGTCATGGAAATGTTGACATTATGTTCCAACACCCCATGTGCTTCACCCAGAAGGACACACCAGCACCAGCTCTAACAGCCTTACCAAAATTTTACTTTATATTACTACAAAATGTATAACCCTGGTCTTATCCTATGTGGGAGAACAGGAATTCTCTAATCATGTCAATTCAAACACATCAATTCTTATTAAGAGAAAGCAGAAGGCAAACAGAAAAACTGAGCATTATTCATCAAAAGTGCCAAGGTCATGAAAGTCTCAGGAACTGCCACAGACTGGAGGAGACAACAGCTTGATGTAATGTGGGATTTTGAACTGGATCCTGCAATGGGGATGGGATGAATATTAAGGAAAAATCTGGTGAAATTTGAATAAGTTCTAAAATTTGTTAATAGTATTGTGCCAAAGTTAATTTCCTGGGTTTCATATAGTACCGTGGTGATATAAATTGCTATTATTTGGATAAAGTAAGTGAAGGGCATATATGAACTCTGCACTATTTTTGAATAGAGTGTTTTTTAAAATCGTAGCTTTATATATGAAAACCAAGTTTAGATTGATCCTTGTTTAATTTGATTCATATTTCTGAACTCAGAAGTAAGGACCATATCATGAATATTGACCACTGGCATGCCCTTTCCCTAAAGTCTCGGAAGACCATTTAGACTAAAAATATCATTTATCCCAAACCATTTCTGAATCACATTGTTTTAAAAATATTTATTCAGGGCCAATTTTTTTATTTCTTCAACATTTCTGTAAAAGAAACTTGATGGACTATAAAATTTTCATCACTCTGAGCCAACCTATTTCCCATTCTTGAACTTAAACAGGAACAGTGAGCCTGGCAATAATCACAAACCAAATGATACCATGGCTTGAGCCCAAAACGCTTAAAAACTTATAAGCCAAGAAATACACATAAGTCATACACATAAGTCTTTGAATATTTATATTTTTGAGTTGTTGCTATCTTCATTTTCTTTCCTTCTCCTTGGAAAAAGGTTTCCACTCTGGATCCCTGCACCAAGAAATCTGAACTAAATAGGGAAACCTTTACTTATTAGATTCTAGAACCACTACAAATATTCAAAAGATCAAATCCTTCTCAGGGTTTAGTTTAAAACGACAGCACAAAGGAAATATGTTTCCTGTTAGCAGTTATTACCTATGGATAAAGGAGTAAGAGGTTCTTTAACATTTTCTACTTTGTACATTTTTGTATTGGTTGATTTTTGTAACAATGATCACATAATATTCATAAACCTATATACATACACACACACACACACACACAATGCCAATCATTGGTTATTTCAAACAAAATAGCAAATTTTCCAAATATAAACTCAATTTCATTTATAACATGTCAAACTCAACAACTATGAATTATACAACTCTTGCCAACATATCATGCAACATCATTTGCCACATACTTATTTTAAAAGAAACTTCACATGGTTTCTACCCCCAGAGAGCAGAGTGATTGGAGGGCATAGTGAAAGAGTGAACATTCTTTTCCTCAAGCAGGGCATTAACATGTGAATCCCAGTACAATAACCAGAACATTTAACACAGTGAGAATGTGGTATGGAGCAACTGACAGAGATACTGCAGTTCAGATAGAGCCAGATGATGCAGGGCAGAGGAAGCGAGCCAGATGGCTGTCTATCTCTGGGAAAATATGACCTGTGCAAACCCCAAGGGTTTTGTGGAAGGACCACCTCTGTGAATCTGTACATGCCTCCTCTGATGGGAAAGGCCTCTCATGCCCAGAAGAGAGAGTAAATATCAGGAAATCTCACCCAGCTAGAGGGATTCCTAAGGGTTGAATGAATAAGAGATATGGGGTCTTAAGGTGGAGATCTAAGTTTCTTCACCTGTAGGCTAATTGTGTCACCATGACTACAAGTCTCTTTTTCAATTCTCTTGAGCCTCGGTGTTCCCATCTATAAAGTGAAGGATGGGCTTGGCTCAGAGTACCCTGAAGAGTCCTGTCAGCTGCAACAAGCTATCATTTTCATCCCCTGGAACAGCCTTCTCTTATAAGGGTCCAGTCTCTGGCCAGTTCTGACCCTGAGCTAATCCCCAATGGCTCAGAACACAAAGCAACAGAGACCCAGGCTCAAGCTCCCAGATTTCAAATTCTAGGTGCTTAAAAGATCCCTTTGCATACATCTTTCCAGGGTAACTTGCAGCTCCAAATGAGGCAGACCTTTAGCGTAACTCTAAGGCTCATTGGCCACAATGCCAAAAAGACATGGGCAAGATGGAGCCTCCAGAACCAGCGGGGAAGGGCAGGATTCTAGCACTCACATTCCATGTTGAGAGTGTCAGCTGCACCAGGGAGGTACAGGGTCAGCCCTGCTGTAGAAGGCACGACTCTCCTGATTAATCGGGTTGTTAACATTTTCTCTGCAAGCTGAGTGGGATCAAAAGACACTAAACACCTCTATTCCTTTTCAGAAGGTAGAGACATTTTAGAAGCTAAAGGACATTTCAGTCAGATGAAATTGTACGACCAGCTCTGGAGAAAACCTGACATTCCCAGTCTTTTAAGGATCTGAGATGCATTTGGGAGTGGGTGATGTCACTTGGTGAGTGCTGGACCACAAGGAGAAAACCTGACATTCCCAGTCTCTTAAGGATCAGAAATGTATTTTGGAGTGGGTGATGTTACTTGGTGAGTGCTGGACGACAGGAGCATTTGTGCAAATATGAATGATGACCTCAACAATTGTGGATGTAAGGAGCTTCCTTGGGTGGCCCACCCACACGGGCCCCCAAGTCACTTACCCTCACACTGCCTGCCCTCCCCTTGGTAGCCAGGCTTGCAGAAGCACTTGTAGGAGGTGAGTGTGTTCTGACACAGGGCATCAGCATGGCAGTCATCCAGCCCTTGGGCACACTCATCCACATCTGCAAAAGAGCATAAAAGCTTCTGGAACGGTGCCCCAAGTTCTGCTTGATCTGGCCTTGACTTCCCTCTCTAGCATCATCTCCCACCAGTTTACTCCACTTCACTATTCACAAGCTAAACTGTTTGGGAGCCCCTGGAGGGGCTATCATATCTAATTGCCTTCAAGATGCAGCTCAGAACAACCTCCTCCAGGAAGTCCACTGTGTCGCCCCACTACAGGTTCTGCCGTATTCATATCCTTGCATAACAGATATCACACAGGTGGTACTGTCTGGGTTTTTGCCTGTCTCACAGTGCCTCTTGATAACAGATTGAGCCTATTATCCCAATGCCAAGGGCAGCGCCTGGCACATGAGTAAGATACTAAATGCCTGCTGAGGAAAAGATCAGGTCAGCAAAAACAAAGTTCTGAAAGAAACAGTGCCTGTCGGCTTGCTCAGTGTTTGGGGTAGGGAGGGAAGCTTGCCCTGTGCCCTGAGTCCACCATGCTGGGCTCTCAGACAGTGCAAAGTGGACATAGTGTTTCCCCAGCCCCACTCCAACCATCAACACTGCCCATCCTCTCAAGCTGGAAACCTGGCTTGACAGAAGTATTTCCTGGGCTGACAGCACTCCAGGACGTTAATTAAAAACAAAAGAGTTTGAAAGTATTGCCAAGTCCAGTTAACAACGTTGGAGTACTTATCTCTAACTGCTGAAAACCCGGGCTTGTTTTCAATGATAGTCCGGGTCCTCAGACTGAGGCTGTTCCACAGAAAAATTCCGGGACAGAACTTGAAGAACTTTCCGGTCCAAAAGAGAGAAGGATCAAAGCTGCCCTGATCTCACAGACCCACAACTGACCCAACAGAGGTTGGAGCCCTCAGTTTCCCCATTTACACTGTGAGGAACTGGACCAGAAGATTCCAGCTCTCTTCTCTCTGCTCAGCCCCCCAGAGTCTGACCAGCCGGCGCGCCCCCCACCCGGGACACTAGGCGACCGGGACCGGTCGGAACTGTCATCAGCCCCGGGTCCGAGGCCGGGCCGCGGCACTCAGGCCTCGGGCCTCTAGCCCGAGCGGGAGTGGCGCCTTGGCCTGGCCGGCGGGTGAGGGACCCAGGGGAGCGGGGTCCACGCTGGGCTCCCGCAGGCAAGCCCCCAGCCCACCTTGCCCCATGGCGGGCGACCCCACTCGGGACTCGGCACTCTTTCCAGAGCTGGACTGTCCCGCGCCCTGCCAGGTGCGTCCCCGAGGCCGG